AAACCGCATGGATATTATGCAAATTATTAGCTAAATGGGTGGTCACATGGCTGGTCATTAATGCATTTTAAAGTGTAATAACTGAGCATTGTTATACAATTAATTCACTATGGGAAAGTGTTATAGTCTTAGCCCAGTGACTAAATCAAAAATAGTGTTACTTCATCAACAAAATGTTTCCTTTATGAACATAAGCAAGCAATAAAACAGTTTGTGTTTAGGCTTGGAAGCTTTACCAGGATACTGAAGAATATAAGGATAGGCAAAGATTGGGAGCCCCAAGAAAGAAAAAAAAGAACAGTTCAACTGGATAGACGAATTCATAGGCTTTCCCAAGCTAACTGAATGATGACAGCCATGGACATTTGCAGCCAATTATCTGGTAAAAATGGCTTAGTTTACACACACACACACACACACACACACACACACACACACACACATATGACATGATGGGCTCTCCTGTCATTTTCATCGTATGAGTGTTTTTCAGTTCAGTTTTTATGTTTTTCGTATAAGACAATAATCCTGCATGGGATTTGCAAACAAATCCACACAAAGGGCATGCTGAAGAATTGACCGTCATATGGGCTGATGTATGAGCCTGAGATGTAGTAGTGTTAATTCTTCAGAACACACAGAACACACACACACATATATATATATATATATATATATATATATATATATATATATATATATAATAACGTATATTTAGGCAGCAAGTATTCATCCAGAAAAGTTTGATTTAAAAAGAACCAACAAAGTCTGTTTAATTTTTTATTGTATCTTTCTAATTTTTGAATAAGGTGTAATGTATTAAGATCAAAATTGTGGATAAACTATTCAAAATTCATGTTTGGGTTCAAATATGTTCAACCATCTCAGTCATTTTGAAGAACCACTGTTTGGTAGGCAAGATTCTCTTGTCTGCATCCTGGTATTCTTTGGAAAGCTGAAAGTTTGAAATAGTCTCTGGTGACATCATGCGTAATGATTACAAGTGCCTCAATTCTTCTTGATATAGATTCAACAATGTTCTGGAACCACTCTTTTGAAATTTGAGTTCATGTTGTTATTATGGCATTCTGCTATTCATCTGGATTGGTTGTTTGCAAATCTAGGTTCACCTATCATCTAAGTTCACACTCCTTTCCAGCCTATTGAACAGGAGTAGAGGTTTATCCCTTGTTTCCTATTTAAGTTTGGATTTCCAATTCCTTCTAAAGTCTTCATTCTTTTTCATTCCCAGTAGCACATCAAAAGCAAAATCTAAAGATGATCTTTGAGATTAAGATCTGATGATTTTAGGGATCTCTTTCTAATGCAGAAAACTCACTGCTGTATTCCATGAACCAATCTGACATTTTTTTATTTGTGACATTGTGTGTTGTCTTGCTGGATGTAGCATAGTCATATATTGACATTAGCTACTATAAATAGCAAGTGTTGCAGCATTTAAATGATTTTTTTATTGGTACCAATTATTCTAAAGTATATCAAGAACATATACCCCATACCATTACACCACCACCATCAATCTGAACCATTTGTCCGAGGCATGATAGATCCATGTCTTCATGTCTGTCAAATTCTGACCCTACCACCATGTCACAGCAGAAACTGAGCCTCATCAAACCAGCATGGTTTTTGTTTTTTCAGTTTTCTATTTTCTGATTTTAGAAAAATGTAGCTCCAGTTTCTTGTTATCTGACAGGAGTGGCACTTGGTGTGGTCTTCTACTGCTGTAGCCCATCTGCTTCAAGGTACAAAGTTTTGTGCATTCGAAGATGCTCATCAGTATACCTCCATTATTATGTTATTTGAGTGATTGTTACTTTTCTATCAGCTTGAACCAGTGTGGATATTCTTCCCTAACCTGTTTCATCAGCAACAGATTTCCACTCACAGAATTACTGTTCATTAGAATGCTTTTCTTTTTCTTTGTAAACTTTGGAGATGGTAGTGAATGTTTGGTCGCATTCAAAGTTACTCAGATCTGCTTTCTTTCTCATATGAAATGAAATTCAGCAGATTTCCATGACCATGTTTAAATGTTCATAGCCATTAAATTGCTGCCATATCATTGGCTGATTAGAAATTTGTGTCACAAAAGCACTTGACAGAGTTTGGTCTTCTTCACAAGTTGAAAAGTTATGGTATTTTTGAACTGATTCAGTCCTATCAAATTGTGAAATGAAAGTTGTCCTGAACAGCCACTCTTCTAGATCTTTCTGCAATACTGCAGGTGTCCTCCCCCCACCACCTCAGGGCTCTATCCTTGGACTTATGTTGTTCCTAATTTTCATCAAAGACCTTCCTGATGTCATATCTTTATAATGATAACATAACTACCTGCTCCTGTCTTAATAGTAAGTCTGATCCGTTCAATAATGTCAAATAGGTAGCTGATCTAAAAAGATGACCTACAGTCTCTTGTTAAATGGGGCAAGGAGTGGCTTAATTTGAATGCCTCCAAAATGAAACTGTTCTATCAATCATCTGAGAGACCCCTTTCTGTTTTCCAGAATCAGTATGAGAATGACCTGTATTATCTCTGGCTAACATTTTCTATTGACATAAAGTGGTAAGATTATATTGAATCAATTGCTCAGTCTGCTGCTAGGAAAGTTGGTTCAGTGTGTTTTTTGTTTTTTTTCTTTCTCTCCAGAATCTTACATATTTATAAGTCTACCATTTACCCATACTTTGAATATTACTGCCACATCTGACCTGGTGCTTGTGCTATACATTTAAAGATTCTTGATAAAATCCAAAGAAGAATTTACAAGCTATTGGTCTTAACCTGGCATCACAGCTTCAGTCATTTTCCCACCACCATAACATAGCTGTGCTTTTTCTATAAATACTCTTATGGTAATTGTTCTGATGAACTTTCCTCTATGGTACCTAGACTTTATGAATTTAAGTTCAGTACTAGATTAGCAACAAGGTCTCATCATTTTACAGTTGAAATGGTTAGATATAATTGTAATTTCTATGCTAACAGTTTCTTCTCTTGCACTTCTTGTTTGTGGAACTCTATTCCAGCTTCTTGCTTCCCAGTTAACTTTGATCTTCCAAAATTTAAATGCAATGTAAATCGTTATCTTCTGTCTTAATTCCTGTTCTATTGTTGTTCTCTCTCCTTAATGATAGTTTTCCTCATATTTTCTAACACACATGTATTCCCTTGCATCCTAGCGTCTTTATTAAGAAATGATTAAAAAAAAAATGATCATTTGTTCACATGCACTTAAGTGGTCAGCTAGTGTATATGCTTTAATGCTTTCAAATTTTCCTTATTTTTCTAGGTTTGAAATAAACTCATTCCAAAAAGGTGTTTAGTGTACTGATTATTAGATGTCACATAAAGCTGATTATTATTGATCTCTGCTAGTCAGAATATATTCCAGATACTCTGAGAAAAAAAAAAAAGAAAGCAGTTAGTTTTAGAAAAATATTAGGTCTTAATAGGTACCTCCAAAAATTCGGTATATCTAAGGTTTAAATGTATTTTTCATAAAGGAAAAATCCTTTTTGAAGCTTTCCATCAGCTTCAATTGAAAGCTAAAGGATTAAATTTTCTAATCCCAGAAAAAAAATTGCAAATTTGAACCTTCATAGCTGCAAAAAAAATGGGAAAAGGATGGTTTTTCACTTGACACTGTTGTTATTTTAACTACCTTCATTCTTTGGCAATGTTTATTCTTTTAAAAAGTGACAGCTAAAATTTTATTAAAACCTAAACATATGAAAGTGAATTGATAAATTTTCTTTGTTGTTGAGATTTAACAACAAAAATAATAAACACTATTTCTTTATTAGATTGTTTATTGGAATGGTCGACAAAACATTGCCTTGAAACTTTATAAAATGGTAAATAAGGATTTCCTTATAGTTGGATCACAATGTTTATAAAATTTATGAATAAAAAAAATGTTCATATTTATTTCTTTAAAAATTGATAAATGATAAATATTGCGTTGCATTAGTTTTTAGAATGTAAATCTTAAAATTATTCTTGAAAATAAACAATCTACTGTCTGACATTGGCTAGTGGCGAAAAAAAAGAAGTTTACTTTGAGTTTAAAAAAAATGATTTGCAGTTGTGAAAATATACACATTTTAATATTGAGATTAAAATTTACTTTATTTTATTTTTTTTTTTTTTAATAAATAACATAATTTTAAAACAATTTCACTAGAGACTCATCTGGAAATATACACATTTTAAAAGTGAAATTAAGAGTTATTTTAATTATTCTTAATATCTAATTTAGGTGCATTCCCTAGATAAAAAACAAATTTATATATAAAAAAAAATCTTCATTCATTTTTCTTGTTTACAACAACTTTATTTCGTGATTGATTGACTTACTAGAAAAACCCTTACAAAAAAACTCTGACTTCATAAAATTTAAGATGAAACTGATAACTATTTTTTTCTTTTTACTCGCTATTTTGTTGTTAGCTTAATTTTACCACAAAAAGTTTTTTTTCTCTTGAAAACTGAAACAAATATATTTCAGACATTATGTCGTATTTCCTTTTTTCTTCTTCATTTCTTTTGTAAACAAATAAATTTCACATTTATTTCCTAAAACTAGTCAATTAAATGTTTTTAACATTTTTGTTCAATCTTTTTCTCTTACAATGGTATAAAGTGGTTACTGATAGCACTAAACGATTTCGGTTTCGTAAAAAATTTGAATGTAGTTTCATGGTTTGAAGATGAAACCAAAAAAAGTAGGTTTTTTGGTTAATCCGCCCATCTTTAATAAATTGTCAACGTGTGGAAGTAGTTAAAATAATAGCAGTGTAATGAAAAAATTGTCCTTTTGACATTGTTTTTTTTTTTTTTTTTGTTTTTTTTTTTTTTTTTTTTTTGTGAGCATGAAATCTAAGTTTGCCAAAAAAAATTCTTTAATTTGTATCTTCTCAATAGAACAGTTGTCTGAATGTTTTTTGTTTTGTCTTTTTTTTTTTTTTTTAACCAGGATTTTCCTTTAGAAGAATTTGAAAATTTACCAGCAAACAAGGGTGAAAAGCGCCAAGGGTCACCATTACAAAAATCTCAAGAGGAATACAAGAAACTGTGCACCAGGAATATAGAAAATGTTCCTGTGAATTCTGGTCTTTGCTCAAGCATTTTGCTGCCAATCTCTAATGATAATTTGCCTCTACAGGATGTTACCTTGCCTCATTTGGCAGGAATTTCTCAAAAACCAGGTGAGTAATAATAAATTTTAACATTAGAATGGCTAAGTTATTGAAATTGAAACCTTCATATTTGAAGACATATTTCGGGGTAATGTGGGGTATCTTCTTTTATATGCCATGTCCCTTCAGGGCATGGGTGATTATTGCTCTCCACAACTTCCCTATCCTTGTTGCTCCAAGCAATGTTAATCTCCATACTCTCTCTTGCTCAAGTCCCTGTTAGTGTTCTGTCATCCATTTACAAAAGCTTGTTAGGTAGATTACTCAGTTCCCCATTTCCCTGAATATATCCTTTGTTTGAGTGTCAAATTCTTCAAACTACTTTTTTTTTTTTTTTAGGGTTTGGATTGCTGCATTGTTAGCCATAATCAGTTTATTAATTCTTGAAGAGGTTGCTGGTAATTTTTTTTTTTTTGTACTAAGCTTGTAGTCCAGTTGATCTTGTTTAGAATAATGAAAGTATTTAGATTTGTCATGTTTCTTAATAATGATGTTTTAATTGATTTTTAATTACTTGTAGGTATGCCGAGACCCTTTGGTTAAGAGCTGTTTGACTTTTGTAGTGGTGTCTGTTTTTATGGTTTCAGCTTTGAGTAAAGTTTGTAGGGAGCTGGTGTGTGTGTGTGTGTGGGGGGTATGACTTGTAGTTTAAGAATTTTTTTTATGTGGAATTTCATTCTCAGTCTTTTTAATATTATCATTGAATGTGAAGAGGAGGTGGCAATTTGGACCTAGGTTGAGGAATTCAGTTTGTTCCTTTGAAGCACTTTCCAAAGAATGCCAGGATCTAGACAAACAAATTTTAAGTATCACACAGAGCCAGAGATAGGGAAATGATGAAAAGGAGAAATAACCTCAATTTTTGATGTATGTACACACACACACACACACAAAAAAAAAATCAACTCACCACCAATAATAAGATCTCCTAACTAGCACATAAATTAATTAATCAAACTTAGTATAAAAATAACAAACTGAGAAAAATGGCAGTCAATTGCTGAAATCTTCTGACAAGTGGATTGAACAATTACAAAAAGAATTTGTCTCCAAAACTCCAGGGTTGAGATGTAGAATATATGACATCAATTAACTAAGTGACAAATTTCATATTTATATGAATCCTGTATGTATGTGTGTGTGTATGTATGTATGTATGTTTCTTTTCCTTAGAAACATTATAAAGAAATATAAAACTCTAGTCGACAAAAACAAGAAAATTAAATTATCTACTATAAAAGATTTAAAACTACTAACCTAACTCATCGTCAACAATATATATATATATATATATATATATATATATATAATATATATATATATATATATATATCTTAACTGACACTTTTTAACTGACACATTTTGTTTTCTGAGGGACTTTATCAAAGCAAATGTGCCATAAAGTCCTTCAGAGGATGAAACGTGTCAGTTAACATGTTTTCTTCTTGTCTTTATTCATACTGTCCTTTCACAGATATACTTGGACATTTATTATTCTTAAAAAAACATCTTTCGGTCTACAACACATTTATTTCGTCTTCGAGTTTTGATTTTAAAGGAAAAAAATTACAGCCTGATGATGAGGACATGAAGTTCTTGAAAGTACTTGCTGCTCTAAAAAAATACACCAGATCTATCTGACAACAATTTTATACATAAGGATGGCATCATTCAGTGGATTGTTAGTTGTTTAATGCTTATATTAAGTCTGTTAGCAAAGAGATTTCGCCATTAATTGCATTAACATTGCTAATTGATTCAATGTATGATTATCTCTTTATAATATAAGATATATGCTACCTAATATAACACGTTTATATATATATATATATATATATATATATATATATATATATACTCACACACTAGGTGTGTCTATTTAAATAACAAGACTAAGCTTATATAAGTCAAATCACTGCATGTATTCATGAACCTCATGTTATACATTTACTACTGCTGTACATCTTTTAAGAGTCATTTTCTAATGACAATTCTGAAGTCAAGCATCACATTAATTTGAATGTTTTGCCAAACATCCTACAGATGAAGGTCATTTTTGCACTCATTTTGATGCTGAATCATTGTCCTTTTTTTTTTCTTTTTTTAATCATTTTTGTCATGTATGTATATCTTTTCTTTTGTGTATATATTTCTTTATTTTTTTTTTTACCTTTTCCAAGCAAGACAACAATGCCACTAAGACAAAAGGGGCTACTGGGAATGAAAGGGAATGAAAAGATTTGAGAAGGAACTGGCAAGCCGATCATAAAGAGGGAATAACAGATAAACCTATACTCCTGTTCAAAAGAATAGAAAGGAGTATGAGCCACCTTATACATAAACCTATTCACTCCCATTGAGAAAAAAAAAATAATTAGTGAATAAAAGTTCAGAATTCAGATGGAGATGTAAGAAGTGTAAAGTTAGAAGGAACTGGAAACAAGGGATAAACCTGTACTCGTGCTCAAGAGACTGAGGAGGTGTGTGATCCAGCCTATAGGCAAACCTATTTACTTCTATTGAGGAGAGAAAATAAAAATAATTAGTAAATAAATTTCAAAATTCAGACAGATCTTAGAATTATAGATTTGAAGTAGACTTTAGAATAATAACCATTGACTTTTGCAAGAACTTTTGTGTCAGTCACTCATTCTTCTCTGTAAACTTTTGTTAGCATAGAAAGTGATGTGGTAGCTATTTTTTTTAAAATTTCAATATTCAATTGAATACACCATTTTAGATCAGCTTATAGAAAAAAGGTTTACTTCACTGTGAACTGAAAACACAAAGAGATGGAAACTTTTAGAGATTGTTTATGCTTGTTCATTAATCAGTGGATATCAGTATTTCTACCTATGTATTATGGTTTGACTTTCATAAGCTCAGTCTCATTATATAATCTTTTGTGTGTGCATTCATATATATGTGATAGAACTAGTTCTGACTCTTTTTCCATGTAAGAGAAAATGTGCAAAAGCTGATCTTCTGGAAGGTCAAAGGTTTTCATTATCATTTTTGTATTTTTTTTAATATAATACGTTACACACTTGTCTTTTTTGATAATGTTAGGTTGTCACTCTGAAAATTTGGCTACTTCACCTGGCACTCCTGAAAATCATTACACAAAGCAGCAACAACAAACACCTCAAAGTGACAGATGTCCAAAACGTAAGTTTCCAGGACCTGCAGGGATGCTTCCAAGGCTGGTGAGTTCAATGCAATTGATTAATAAACTAACAACAGTTTCAACAAAAGCTATTTTTCTCAGTCATATATAATAGCTTTATTCTGTCAGTAATTAGTGCATTAATTCCTTTGTTTGCCTGATTTTCAATTTTTTTTTGTTTGTTAATACTGCATATAATCAATCCTGGCTCTCCACAGATTCCTTTTCTTTAGTAACTTGTCATGATTTCTTGTGAAAGATGGTGGAAGGGTTTTCCATTGCCATCTCCATGGTTTTGTAGTCAGTACTGTATTTCTTTTAGAGTAACTACCACCTAGATCAGTACTACTTTAGTGTGCAGTCTACCACAGTTTCTGCTGTGGAATGACCTTTTAGCCTGCAGTCTAGTTTTCATGGTATGAATTTATTACCTGTACTTAACTTTATTTTACCCTTTTGCCCTGAGTGCTCTTGACCGGTCAATATAAAATGACATTTAGCATGCAGTCTAACTTTCATGTGCTTCTCTTATTTTTACCCTTTTAACCTGGTTACTAATCCCAATCCTCACCCTAACCCTGTAGTACCAATGAATTCCATCATAATCATGACTATTAATGTACTATTTAGCCTTTTTTATGATTATGATTTGTATGATTATGTCATTAAATCATTATTCAATATTACTCAAATTGTTTATTATCCTGTTGTATAAAGTTCTTGTAGTGGAGGTAGACTTTACACTAAACTCTAAATCACCTGGTAGACCACATGCTAAAGTATCACCAAGAGATCTGTCTAGTATGTTATTTAACCTATAGCTGGAGGGGGAAGAGATGGATTCCTTGTATTCAGGTATTATTGTAAAGTGGATAAAACTTAAGCTCTGTTTACCAATTCCCCCTCCTGTGCTGACAACTATTTTGCTCTCTTCACATCCATTTCAATGTTTATCATTTTAGAATCATTTAAAATGCATTTCTATAGTAAATGACAGTTATGCTTACATAAAATTTTGTGACTAGATGCAATCCTGTTTCTTTTTTTTTTTTTTTTTTTTTTTTTAAACCTGATTTTCAGTGCAGCATATACAGATCTGCTAAAACAAAATTTAGGTTAAAAGTTGCTCAAATGAATTTACCTCCACTCTTGCCATAAGTATTCAGTTTCTTAGTGCAGAATATGATGAATGCTAATGCAAAGAAGGGTGGAGTAGTGGTAAAGTTAGTGGGCAGTGGTAAAAAAGCAAAACCTTTTTGTCTTTACTATATACAGATGTAGATAATAATAAAATCCCACCCTGTCAGCTGGAACTTCAGAATACACAAACTACACCTCTGCAGAGGGTTAAGACCTTCTCCCCTCCAAAAAAAAACCCCAAATAAGGCTGCCTGTTTGACATCGGTGGTGACCCGTAATGTCTGAGGTTGGGATTCTGGTAGTTGAGGGCTTCAGGAGTCAGGGTTAATTACTTCTGATTCAGAACGCACCACTTTGGCCCTTACTTGAACAAGACAGATGGTCAGAGAGGTCCGGTCAGCTGGTCATGACAAGACCTAGCACCCATAACTATATCAGTTTATGGAGTACTTTATAATTAAATACAATACTCCAAATATACACTGGGTTAAAATACCGTCTCTATCTAATTTATAGGCGTTAGGTGATGGCTGAGGGTCAGTTGGTTCAAAGAGATCTAGACTTAAACATGGCTGTGAACATGCCAGTTTGTACCCTTATTTGGGAAGGGCAACAAATGGTTTAATGGGTGCTCGGAGTCTCTCTCTCAAATAGAGTATACTGGTTTGTGTACCCCTGACCTGTCAATGTAACTGGGTTTCTCCCTTGACATGTCCCAATGTCGGGCTCCGAGGTGGGTGGGGAGCACAGACAGTGAATCTTAATACACAAAAATTATGAATTATCAAAATAAAAAGCCCAAGAGATGCCTTTCAGACTCTGATTCTGAAAATAAATTAATATGGAATTTCTAAAAAAATTTTTGTTCTCGTCCCTAGAAAAAACTCTGCAAACAAAACTTTCCTCTTTTTTGATTGAAATGGATTGAAAAATTCTGTAGGATCAATCCTAAAACAGAAAATTGAGAGATGGCAATTTGCTGGTTGAGGTGGAATACAGGAAACATGCAGAAAATATAATAAAGATGAAGACCTTTCATAATATCAAAATTAAAACCTTTCCTCATGTGATGCTGAATACATCTAAGTCATTAGAAGTAAAGAGTTGTCTCTGGCCACAACTGAGGAAATTACATCTGCCTTAGAAGTTTGGGTCAGCAATTACTATAGAATCTCAATTAAAAGAAAAGGAAAACAATTATAACTGACATATATATATATATATATATATATATATATATATATATATATATATATATCATTACTTTTGGTACATCTGAAATTTAAAAAAAAAAAAATAAATAACAATAGGGTATAATATTGAGTTAGTGGAACAATATATCCCTGCTCCACTAAGATGCTTTATCTCATTTTCAGAAGCAAGGCAAGTTGTAGAAGTTTACATGAAAGGCCCTATCTATGCAAAAATAATGGAAAATAAGACCACAAATAATGCCGGTCAGCCTGACAAACAAAACCCTCATTGAGAAGCTTGTACACTTGGAACCAAATGATTGGTTCAAATTTCAAACTTGCCTAAAAAGTCTAAATTCCAAAGAAATGGTGCAGGCTGAACTGCAAAAGAAGGACAATGAAAAATTGGAAATAATAAAAAACAAATAGCAAAACAACAGCTCAAACATTAACTATGCCTACCAAAAATAGCAAATCTCCTACTAAATAAATAGCAAATCTCCTACTAAATAAACAGCAATCCACCAAAACCCCGGAAAGACAGACTGAAAAGACCAGGCCCAAAAGAACAGAATCGACCAAACAAAAACCAGAAATCCACAGAGACCAAATTCTTATGCAAAACTGATTTAATGAACTAGAAAAGATGGAGTTGGAAAGCCAGAACCTTCAAATGGTTAAAACCTCCAAGATGAAAACCTAGGAAAAAGAAATCAAAACCACATAAGCTAAAGGCTGAAAACTTTTAAACAGTCATGCATAGGATAATTCAGTGGAACTGCCTTGGAATAAAAGCGAATATAAATGAACTGCTTCTGTTAATAAACAGACCTGTCACTGGCAATTGTCTGCCTTCAGGAAACATTCCTTAGGCAAAATGACAAAGTGAATATAAAAGAATACTAGCAATATAACCATACACATGACACTGGGCTTCATGCATCTGGCAGTAGATCTGTCCTATTTAGGAATGATGAACCCTAAAGTAAAATAAATTTGACAACTACTTTACAGGTGACTGTTGTTAAAATGACCCTACATAGGCTTGGTATATATCTCACCTAATGAATAAATGAAGCTGAAATTAAAGGAAATTATAAGGCAACTCCCTGCACCCTTTATGATAACTAGGGGACTTTAACTGCCACCGCACCATATGGGGGGCTGTGAAGACACAAACCAAAAGGGAAGGACTTTAGAAACAATTATAAACAACAATGATTTATGTATTTTATAATGATAAAACTCTGACCTTTACTGGCAGCTACTCTGCAATAGATTTATCCATATGTGATCCATCAATCTATAGGGATTTCTTTTGAAAGGTTCTGGTGGACACATGCAGTAGTGATCACTTGCCAATTGTTCTGCAAAATTCAGAACATAATGATAAAAATCGTCTCTGTTGGAAATTAGGTGGCACAAACTGGGACAAATTTAAAAATCAATGTTCTGATAAACTAGTTGAAGGTAAGTGCATCAAGGATTTAGATCTGTTTATGCAAATCTTTTTATCCATAGCAAAGGAATGCATTCCAAAAAGATCAGTACAAAAAATAAAAATGCAATAATGAGTTTAAGGAAGCTATCAGGTTCAGAAGAAGAGCTTTGGGACATTTCAACAAACAATCTTCAACTTCTAATTTCTTAAATTTTAAGCAACTTTGAGCAAATGCATGAAAAATAAAGTAAAAAAGAATGTTGGAAAAATGATATCAGCAGACTTTATTCTGCTACAAAAACAAAATCTGTATGGGATATGATAAAGAAAATAGCAGGTAACTGTAAAATAACCAGCAAGTAGCCAACAGTTTCTGAACCTCAAAACAAAAAGCAGGAAAACAAAAATTAAACTTTAAATTAAATAACAATGAGATCTGTAACCTACCATTCACTACAGAGGAACTAAATTAATCTTTAAAGAAAGCCTACAATACAGCTGTGGAACCAGATGATATCCACTATCAATTCATAAAACAAATCATTACAACTGTTAGTAAATTTGTATAACAAATTGATGAATGACTGTCTAGACCAGATGTGGAGACAGTCATTCATCATCCCTTTTCCAAAATCTGGAAAAGATGATGCAGACCCCAATAGCATTAACAAGCTGCCTGTGTAAAACTATTGAGAGAATGGTCAACAACAGGAAAAAAAAGAAGTACCATGGATCACTTAGTATGCCTTGGAACCTTTGTAAGGGAAGCCTTCATTAAGAAAGAACATCTCACGGCAGTCTTTTTTGACTTAAAAAAAGTTTTATGATATAACATGGAAATTTGGTATCTCAAAAGATCTGCATGAACTGGGTCTAAAAGGAAGGGGCTGGTTCAATCCATAGGGAATTTCCTGAAAGACTTGGAGATTTCAAAATATAAAATATTAGAAAATAAATTGTAGCAATATCTGTCTATATTTCTGAGATGAGGTATTATGTACACTATTTACATTATTCGGACTATTGTCCTTGTTGCCATATTTATTACAACGTTTCGGCCGTTGTACACTCCGGCCTTCTTCAGGCGGTTGGACTGTCAAACTGAACCCTTTATTTCACTCACTGGGGTAGACTATTCTAGTTTCACATGCCATGTTTAATGTATGTCAGTTATCTCCTGTTAATTCCCCTCTCCAAGTTCTCCACTGCCTTAACTGGGTATTGACTCACACTCTTTGGGTCCTGTCACTGGATCTAACTAACACC